CCAATTTTTTTTTCTATTTTTTTCCCCATTTTTCCCCGTTTTTCCCCAATTTCCCCCCATTTTTTCTCCAATTTCTTTCCAATTTTTTCCCATTTTTCCCCATTTTTCCCCATTTTTTCACTCATTTTTACCCGTTTTTTCTCCCATTTTCCCCCATTTTTTCCCCATTTTCCCCCATTTTTTCCCCATATTTTCTCCAATTTTTTTCCAATTTTTCCCCATTTTTTCCCAATTTTTCCCCATTTTTTCCCAATTTTTTCCCCATTTTCCCCCATTTTTTCCCCATTTTTCCCCATTTTTCCCCCATTTTTTTTCTATTTTTTTCCCCTTTTTTTTTCTATTTTTTTCCCCATTTTTCCCCGTTTTTCCCCAATTTCCCCCCATTTTTTCTCCAATTTCTTTCCAATTTTTTCCCATTTTTCCCCATTTTTCCCCATTTTTTTTCCCCATTTTTCCCCATTTTTCCCATTTTTTCCCCATTTTTCCCCATTTTCCCCGTTTCCTCCCGTGGGCTCACAGCTGGCCACGCCGTTGCCATGGTAACCGCGCTGCCAGCGCCACTGGAAGCTGCCGGGGCTCTTGTGACAGCGGCACATTCTCCCCATTCTCCCCATTCTCCCCAATTTTCCCCATTTTTCCCCATTTTTTCCCCATTTTTCCCCAATTTTCCCCATTTTCCCCCATTTTTTTCTATTTTTTTCCCCATTTTTCCCCATTTTTTCTCCTATTTTTCCCCCATTTTTCCCCAATTTTTTCCCAATTTTTTCCCAATTTTCTCCCATTTTTCCCCATTTTTTCCCCCATTTTTTTCCTATTTTTGCCCCATTTTTTTCTCATTTTCTCTCAATTTTTCCCCATTTTTTTCCATTTTTCCCCCATTTTTTCCCCATATTTTCTCCAATTCTTTTCCAATTTTTCCCATTTTTCCCCCATATTTTCCCCATTTTTCTCCCATTTTTTCCCATTTTTCCCCCATTTTTTTTCTATTTTTTTCCCCCTTTTTTTCCATTTTTTCCCCATTTTTCCCCCATTTTTTCCCCATATTTTCTCCAATTTTTTTCCAATTTTTCCTATTTTTCCCCCACTTTTTCCCCAGTTTTTTCCCTCATTTTTCCCCATTTTCCCCCATTTTTTCCCCATTTTCCCCCATTTTTTTTTCTATTTTTTTCCCCATTTTTCCCCATATTTTCACCAATTTTTTTCCAATTTTTCCTCCATTTTTCCCCATTTTTTCCCTCATTTTTCCCCATTTTTTCCCCATTTTTTCCCCATATTTTCACCAATTTTTTTCCAATTTTCCCCCATTTTTCCCCATTTTTCCCCCATTTTTTTTTCTATTTTTTTCCCCATTTTCCCCCATATTTTCACCAATTTTTTTCCAATTTTTCCTCCATTTTTCCCCATTTTTTCCCCATTTTTTCCCCATTTTTTTTCTATTTTTTCCCCATTTTTTTCCATTTTTTCCCCATATTTTCACCAATTTTTTTCCATTTTTTCCCCTATTTTTCCCCATTTTCCCCCATTTTTTTTTTCTATTTTTCCCCATTTTTCCCTCATTTTTCCCCATTTTTTCCTATTTTTCCCCCATATTTTCCCCATTTTTCCCCATTTTCCCCATTTTTCCCCATTTTCCCCGTTTCCTCACGTGGGCTCACAGCTGGCCACGCCGTCGCCATGGTAACCGCGCTGCCAGCGCCACTGGAAGCTGCCAGGGATGTTGTGACAACGGCACATTCTCCCCATTCTCCCCAATTTTCCCCAATTTTCCCCATTTTTCCACATTTTTTCCCCCATTTTTTCCCCATTTTTTTTTCTATTTTTCCCCATTTTTCCCCATTTTCCCCAATTTTTTCACCATTTTTTTTCTATATTTTTCCCATTTTTCCCCATTTTTCCCCATTTTTTCACTCATTTTTACCCGTTTTTTCTCCCATTTTCCCCCATTTTTTCCCCATATTTTCTCCAATTTTTGTCCAATTTTTGTCCATTTTTTCCCAATTTTTCCCCATTTTTTCCCAATTTTTTCCCCATTTTTTTTTCTATTTTTTCCCAATTTTTCCCCATTTCCCCCATTTTTTCCCCATTTTTTTTCTATTTTTTCCCCTTTTTTTTTCTATTTTTTTCCCCATTTTTCCCCCATTTTCCCCCATTTTTTCCCCATTTTCCCCCATTTTTTCCCCATTTTTCCCCATTTTTCCCCCATTTTTTCCCCATTTTTCCCCATTTTTCCCCATTTTCCCCCATTTTTTTTCCCCATATTTTCCCCATTTTCCCCCATTTTTCCCCCATTTTTCCCCATTTTTCCCCATTTTTTCCCCATTTTCCCCCATTTTTTTTTTCTATTTTTTCCCCATTTTTCCCATTTTCCCCCATTTTTCCCCATTTTCCCGTTTCCTCCCATGGGCTCACAGCTGGCCACGCCGTCGCCATGGTAACCGCGCTGCCAGCGCCACTGGAAGCTGCCGGGGCTGTTGTGACAGCGGCACATTCTCCCCATTCTCCCCATTCTCCCCAATTTTCCCCAATTTTACCCCATTTTTTTTCTATTTTTTCCCCATTTTTCCCCATTTTCCCCAATTTTTTCACCATTTTTTTTTCTATATTTTTCCCATTTTTCCCCATTTTTCCCCATTTTTTCTCTCATTTTTCCCCATTTTTTCTCCCATTTTCCCCCATTTTTTCCCCATATTTTCTCCAATTTTTGTCCAATTTTTCCCCATTTTTTCCCAATTTTTCCCCATTTTTTCCCAATTTTTTCCCCATTTTTTTTTCTATTTTTTCCCAATTTTTCCCCATTTTCCCCATTTTTCCCCATTTTTCCCCCATTTTTTTTCTATTTTTTCCCCCATTTTTCCCCCATTTTTCCCCATTTTTTCCCCATATTTTCTCCAATTTTTTTCCAATTTTTCCCATTT